TAAATACTGTTTTTTGTAGCCCAAAAATATAGCCACTAGTATAGATTAATGCAAGAGTCTTCTTCCTTTGTTTCACACAGGTTGTAGTCACTCTGGATGTAGACTTTCCTCTCCCAAATCCTTCTAATGCTATGTGGGGACTTTCCCAGATCCTTCTAATATGCCTATTCTGCCTCACTGATAAAGCACCACCTTTCTTCCAGACCTCAGTAGTTTCACAGTATGGAACAGGATAGGACAAAGACTTCCTCAAAGAAAATTAGGGAAAAGGAGCTAAAAATGTCTTTTGCGGCACATCCATTCTTCAGCAGCAGCATTCTGCTTATCCTTCCTCTCCCAGCTTTGCCACACACAAGCCTGGGCAAAAGATGAGAGCACCTAATCTAAATCAGCAACCTCTGTCTCACCGGGAATTCTGAGGAAAAGCCAGACTGCTCCCAGGTATCCTAGGACACTCAAGAAGAGAACCACCAGAAGAAATCAAGGCTCAAACAAGAGCTGGCAAGTTGATACATGGGAGGTGGGAAAAAAAATCAGTCTCTCTCAGGACAGTCCCCCTTCTCCAGTAAAAAGGAGACCCTTTATTCAGGCTATGGCTTCTGCTTTCCTCCATCCTAAAGGATCTTTTTACCTCTCTTTCAAAAAGAACTTTTTGGAGGTGAGCTCCCTGATTCTTGCCCTCCACTGTATTGCAGAGACCTCTCCTTCATACCTAATGGCAGGAAAAACCTCTTCTCTCATTCACCTTTTGCTCAGATAGGAAGTCTCCTGAAGAGGACAATCCAGAGTTGGAACCAGTGACCTCTCCACTTGTCTGCTCCTCAGAAAAACGACTCTGAAGGAATGGGATAATATCAACTCAAGTCTCACAAAAGCCTTAAAACTTGCTGTGGTGAAACAGAAATTCTCAGGATATGAGGCAGAGGCTATATACTTCACACCTAGGCAACCTCTCAGGTTGAATCCTGCCAATTTATGCCACTACTGGGAAGATGGCAGAAACGAAGTATCTCTCCTTTTACACTCATCCTCCTCAGATTTTACCAACTGGATCTTGACTTCCACCACAGGGCTGTATTTTACTGGGAAGTGGATTCTCCTAAGCCCCCTCTGGAAAGGAAGGTGGAGAGTGGATTGGTGTCCACATCACAAACAGTATCCCCAGCAGAGGGCACTAACTGGCTTCCTTAGTTTCAGAGGGGTAGCCAAGTTAGTCTGTAACTGGAAAAACTTTAAAAACCACAAATAGTCTAGTAGCCGCTCCCCACAGGAAAATTGATTCCCTCCTTCCCCCCCTATCCCCTGCTCCGCCTCTGGCCAGCCCCACTTCCCCCAACTCCCTCCCGGGCAGCCAGTTCTCCCCCGCTTCTCCTCCCAATCTCTCTTGGCCAGCCCCGTTGCCCACGTCCAGCCCTTCTTCCGGCGGCCGCTTCTTCCCCCCACCTCCATCTTCCCTGGACAGCTCTCTGTCCTCAACCTTGCGCCCCCCAGCAGCCCTGCTTCCACCCGGCCGCCAATCTCTCTAGCC